GCACTTGCACATCCATTGGTTCGGGGACGGGCCATTGGGGGGGTGGTTGACTGGGTGGAATGAATTGCGGCAAAGTGCCATGGGCCAGAGAGGGTTCCGGCTTGGGCAGGTCTGGCTGCCGTTCCACTTCGAGTGGGATGAGATTTGCTATCAACTGGCTGTGCAGGATGTGCGGTGTCGAGGTTCTGTCGGCTCGATACCGACGTGAAACCAAGACGTCCACTGCGCGAATTTTCCCATCCCGCGGACTTGCGCGGACTGCGACAATCCTGCAAAGTTTCCACTTCAGGCGTGACATGGGAGTGTCACCCTTGAAGGTTGCAACTTTGAGCAGGGCTACCTGGCCCTCCTGGGGCTCAAGGTGCGTGGGCCCGCAGCCCATGTGGGTGGGAAAGGCACGTAGTTGGGTCACATACCCAACATAGATTGAGGAATCGAGGAAAATTCCCTGAATGCGTTCAAGGGTCTGCAACTTTTATTTTGGCACTAAGGTGATTCACGACCAGAGTTATTCCATTGGTTGATAAACAAGCTTTACTTTCCGCTTTTCAGTGTTCTCAAGGTACAATCCAGGATCTACAAATGCACAACTGATCTAAATGCATATACACTTTCTTCCCCCCGTCAGACAACAAAAAAGTATCTGTAAAAACATTACAGCATAAAGCCACCATTTATAAGTTATTTCTACAATTGCCAGTAGTTCACTCGCTTCTTGTGAAATTAATTTTGACTTCACTTCGCCTGAGCAGAATAAAAAAGTGCCGGGCAATGCCATGCTTCCGATTGATTTCTTTTCCATTTTCCGGACATTTCTTCAGCCATTTTTTTCGAATTTTCTTTTTTTTTTAATGAAATAAACGTGAATTTCTTGAGCGTAACGCAGGAAATGATTGTCGTTCTGTGGATATTCCACCAACCCTTTGTGGATTGAAACCAGCAGAGAAACTGGTGGCAGTAAACCTTGTCAACCTTGTCGTTCTTCTTCCCGTCTTCTTCCAAATACGTTATTCACCACTTGAGGAGCTGAGAAAAGTAAACACAGGAGAAGAGTCCTGCCTTCGTCGAAGCAGGCTGAAATCTTGAATTTCCCAGGGGGGGGGGGGGAGGTTAAGGGACCCGGTTTATAATCGGTTCCGCAATTTTCTCGGGCGGGGGGCTGCTGAAAAGCTTCCCTTCCGCTGTCATCGGCTTCGTGGGAGACACAAGAGCGACCGCCGTCGGGAAGCGGGGTTGAGGTGAATGAGGATCCGGGGATCCCGAGGGAAACATCCCAAGCATCGAGATCAAGGACTTGCAGAGGCGCCTCATTCCCTCGGACGTGGACTGAATCCCAGTAGTGTGTGTCATGTGTGTCTTATTGTTTGGTCGTCGTCGTCTCGGGCCAGAAATGTTGGATAGATTTTTCCGAGAATAAAGGGAAAACCAAGATGACGCAATGCTTCCCCCTTTCCCTCAGAATTACTTTATTTTATTTTTAGGGGCGTGATTTTATTTTGCGTACTGTATTTGCTGAGTAATGGTTTTGAGCGACATCTGTTTTCACAATTCAAGGTTGGGCTGATTCACACGCTGTCGCAGAACGCAGATGGGAGCAATCGACCAGCGTGAAAAGAGAACATTAAAAAAAATGAAGGGCGACAGGGAAAAATTACAAAACAACTTTCCGGTGTTTTTTCGACCAGTAGCCAAAAAGCCGAAGGCGCCGGAATTGAAATAAAAATGTCTTATGATTCATTATTCTTCTCTTTGTCAGAGTCCGCAGTGTGAAAGAAATTCATTTCGACAACTGTGTAATTTTCGAATAAATTTCTGAAAACGAATGGTCAGGTCTCGTAGTGTGTGCTACACTTTTTTTCCAGCATCACTACATATCGAAAAATTCGAGACTCAGTCGGTGAGGTTTCATTTCGCATACCGCGCAAATTTTCCGCCGAGTCATTTCAACTTCCGACCGATCTGGACTTTCAGTGTGAACGGCATGTCCAAGAGAATGTGCTTTTCTGGGATAGGAAAAATGTATTTACCTGAAGTTGTTTCGAGAACGAAGCGCTTGTTCACAGAAGTCTCAGCACCATTTTATCCTCCGTAGCAATTAATTTGAGCCTTAACTTCTTTTGTTATTCGAAACGGTCTGAGGAAAGTGATGTATCTTTATTTGGAAGGAAAAAAATCAATTCGGCGTTGAACATTTAACAAGTTTTTCTGTCATTACTGGCGAGAAAAATTCTAAAGAAAAGCAAAGCTCCCGCACCGAAAAATGATCGCAACTTTTGCTTGCATGCTTATAATGACCGAAAAGGGTTCCTTTTAAAGTGGCATCTATCTTCCGGAAGACAAACATACATTTTGCGTTTGCCTAAAAGTACTACAGGTGACGCTGCTATACATGTTTTTTTGCTTCGTACCAGTGCTGTGTAATGAAGAAATCTCTTCGTGGATCAGCATTCTGAAAGTGATTGTCTGGAACTCCCATTGTGTCGTAATTGTTTCACCCATCAATGTCCTTGACAAGTAACTTGCATTGTGACTGCAATCATGAGTTTATACACAGTTGGACATTGAGATGTGGACAGAATTGGTGCACCTTTGTTTCAAAAACTAGAAATAAGTCCTCAAAAATTGAATAAAAATTGTTCCTTTCAACTTCAAGTTGTAGGAATCATTAGTGCAGAAGAACCTGGTATGAAAAGATAATCAAAAAGCAAAGAAAAATAATTATTCTTACTAGAATATGCATAAATGATGGAGAAAATAACTCTTGAAAAAAATAAGCTCAATATCAGCTTGCTTTTGATTATGAATTACAGTGAATGTATGTCAAATATTTTTCAATTTCTGTGAATATAAATAGCTTGCTTCTTTTGAAAGATTTCAAAATTGAAAAAGAAAATGTTTTGATTTTTTTGGTTTTCACTTTTCCCTAATTCAAATTGTCTATATGTTGAGGTGTCTGCATATTGAGGTCTCACTGTATATACGAACTGGGATGCCCTGTCACACCTGGGTATTGGGCAGCTTTTTGATTGGAAAAATTTAAAAATTCAAAAATAAAATATTTCCCCCAAATTTTCTCCCATTTTTGAAAAAATGTTCCTGTGTTTCTCATTGTAACTCAGCCAATGTTTCAGATTTTTCAAAAATGAAAAAACGAAAATGTTGAGAACAGCATGGCGCTTGCAACGGAGTTTGAAGAGTAAGTTAGGATAAGACATGATTGTTGGACAACTTTTCAAAGTCATAAGGGCAGGAAGCGGGAATGGGGATGAGCTTCTCTGGGACTGAGTATGTGGGAGGGAGGTTAGGAAGCAGAATGCAAGGGAGTGCTGGGAGAATAAAAAAAAAAAACAATTGTGGCTACTCATAGGAGTCACTGAAAGACAGTTTTTTGGTGGGAGATATATACTATACAGTACACGCCAACTGTGCCAGCATATAAAGACGCTCTCTTCGTCAATTTCAGTCAATTTCGCTTGATGGCGATATTTCTTTCGCTGATAAATATATTTTTTCCTTTGACGACGACGACGTTCCCCTGTTCATCCCCGAGAGGAGTGCTCCATCAACATTTTCGTTTCGTTTCCTGATTTCCTAAAATTTCCCCCTCGATTTCCTTTTTCTTTCATTTTTATCCCTGCCATCACCTCCACCACCAGGCAGTCCCACGTTCCCCGACGCAAACACGTATATTTATATATTTTTATATTTTCTTGCAGCAGACAGCTCGGATTTCACCAGCTTTTCCCTCTGCCTTGGTGTCGAGGTTGGGACTGCTGCTCCCGAGTGTCGCGGATTTCCAACATATATTTCAGCCGCGTATCGGACTTGACGGCTTTTTTTTTCTCTTTCGCTGTTTCATGCTGTTGTTGTGTTGATAGTTGTGAAAGAATTTCTGGGGGGAAATATCATGGCTGGGTTTGTGGACCAGCTGAAGGCGGTTTTCGTGACGCCGACGAAAGCCGCAATTTTCTTTGCCTACTGCTCCATGTTTTGCATATATCGTGAGTAATAATCAGCTTTTAAGCTCTGTGATTTGCTGTTTTGGTTTTGCTCTGTGCTAAAAAAGGAAGATCAGTGAATGCGAAGCGATGCAAAAAAAAAGAAAAGGTTCTCTGCTTAACTTATAAAAATAAGAATAACAATATTTGATGTCTTCAAATGCTTAAAATTAATTTGTAAATGCTTCTACGGTTTCTTTATGGGCTAAAGAAAATTTCCAGAGTAATATTTTTGGGATGTGTAGGACACGAGCCGTTGTGCTCTCTTGATCATATATAGGAGGGTTGTCCCGGTTGGACGAGGCCTTTGACATTTTTAGGTTTGGTGTGATTGAAAAAAAAAAACATGACATACGTAAAAGTCTTGATGTTCTAAGCTCTCAGGTTCTGGGGTTGTTTTTGAATTTTAAAATTCAATTTACTGTATGATGAGCGAAAACTTTCAAGTTACAGCCGTAGTTTTCCAACCATATGTCACATATGGTGCTAGAAATTTGTTGAGCCAGCTGAAATTGTAGTTGTTGTTTTGTTCTACCCCTTCGATCCATCGTACCTGCATTTTAAATTAAGGTTAAAAGAAACATAAATCATATTTGTCTTGGCTAGCCTGCCGAATTTGAGCTCCTTTATTGTGACAAATGGGTTGAGAACTCTGGAGAATTAGATGAGAATTCCAGAAACTTGGAACATCATGAGCTATATGTATCGATTTATTTTTGGAATTTCACCAAGTGAACAAAACAAAGGTCGCCATAAGTGGGACAACCCTCGTGTACATTGTCTCAAATTATTTGGCGTTTTCTATCAGTTTATATCATTTTCTTTTTCAATCGGTTGCACTGAAAATACGTTTCCTTTCCTAACCTAAAGCGGACAGCGTGAAGTAGTTTTTCCCGATTTTGTATGATAATTAAGTCGAAGTTCAAAAATAAAGAAGGGCTTATCTAGAAAACATTTTAAGCAAAGCAAATAAGAAGCGTATTATCGTCTTGGTCTCGACGCATGTTCGCAGTGATTTTTACGCAGCTGTCGAAACGAGATGACAGTTCTTTCGGCTACGACATCACCGTTGTTGTGGTTCTCATAGAATTGGGGAAATTGATTGCAGCCCTGGCTCTTTGTTTCAAACTGTGAGTAAACAATACACTTTGCCAGCACTGGTGCTGAAATAACACTGACGCGTCACATCTGGACCCCTTCCCTATTTTTTTTTTGTTTTGTTTCCGCCCCTTGCTTTATTAAGATATGACGTAAATATGGAAACATTGGTCGCGACGCTGACGAGTGAAAATGGGCGTGAGTTGATTTCAATTTCGTTTGGGTTGTGAATTTTCGGGGGGAGAATTTGTCCCATTTTTTGTTTGTTGCATAATGAAGGCACGACAGCGGCATTGTACTTGATCCCAGCTGGTCTGTACGTCTTGTACAACAACTTGACTTTCATCAACATGTTGTCGTTTGACGCTGTGACCTACACAGTGTTGTCGCAGTGCAGAATCATCCTAACCGGGATTGTTTTCCAGGTCAGTCAGTTTTGATATCTAGGATAACATGAAATAAGTACCTCCTGGTTGTGGACATCTCTCTCTCTCTCTCTCTCTCTCTCTCTCTCTCTCTCTCTCTCTCTCTCTCTCTCTCTCTCTCACTCGCTGTGCAACAATTTCCTCTAATTACAGCGACATTTTTCGAACAACATGTACAATATTTCGTAAGAGGTAATTCATNCTCTCTCTCTCTCTCTCTCTCTCTCTCTCTGATTTCTCGTATTTATATATACGCAGATATTTTTCAAGCGTAAGTTGACGAGGATGCAGTGGTTTTCCTTGTTTCTCCTGACCGTGGGTTGCGTGGTGAAAGACGTTGGGGCAACAGCGAGCAAAAGGTCAGCTGATGGAGTCGGGGATCAGGAAGCCCTCATGGGTTATCTTTGGGGAGCCATACAGGCCGCTTTGAGGCCCGAATTGGCCGTCTTGCTGCTGCAGGTTGGGGGTCTATACCTACGATGATATTGTACATTCATGATTTCCAAGATGTATCCCTTATTAATTATGAAAAAGGAATTATTTAGAAATATTTGCTGATTGCGTATGTGCAAGGGTTGAAATGGGGTTGCGGGGTTTATTTCTGCTGGGTTGATATGTTGCTCAATGTCCTTCCATGATAACGCCGGCTTTAATCAATGCCTTTTTAATCTTTCAAATGCAACTCTTATTGACACTTGAATTGAGGCGTGTCCCGATAAAAGCAGTATACTGCTGTAGTAGTGTACTGCAGCAGTGTGTCTTTGGACATATTGATCTGTGCAATTTCTTTTCACCTTAATTGAAGTTTTAATGCATTGGGGATCAAAATCTTCGCAATTCGAATTTGTAAGAGGACGAGTCGTGTTGCTTTTTCCGCATGTTAATATTTAATTGAGTTGAAATATTGGCAGCATTTGGACCAGAAGGAAATTCTTGGAGTGCAAAGATTTGGCACGGAAACGGAAGTTCTACAAAGTATATTTTGTATGCTGCAATTTCAATCGTATGATGTCTATAATTTAAAAAAAATCAAGTTTCGGCAAATTTGCAACACGGTCTTGGAAGGATTGCAAGCTAATACATGAGAAACATTGGGATTTTGAGAACACGAGTAATGCAGGAAGAGCAAAACTTTTGAAGTAGCCCTCAACGTGTCGTACGGGATTTTAATTATAAGCTGATGGAGTCGGGGATCAGGAAGCCCTCATGGGTTATCTTTGGGGAGCCATACAGGCCGCTTTGAGGCCCGAATTGGCCGTCTTGCTGCTGCAGGTTGGGGGTCTATACCTACGATGATATTGTACATTCATGATTTCCAAGATGTATCCCTTATTAATTATGAAAAAGGAATTATTTAGAAATATTTGCTGATTGCGTATATGTGCAAGGGTTGAAATGGGGTTGCGGGGTTTATTTCTGCTGGGTTGATATGTTGCTCAATGTCCTTCCATGATAACGCTGGCTTTAATCAATGCCTTTTTAATCTTTCAAATGCGACTCTTGACACTTAAATTGAGGCGTGTCCCGATTTAAAAAAAAACAGTATACTGTAGTGTACTGCAGCAGTGTGTCTTATTTGGATATATCGATCTGAGCAATTTCTTTTCACCTTAATTGAACTTTTAATGAATTGGGGATAAACATTTCGAATTTGTAAGAGGACGAGTGTTGCTTTTTCCGCATGTTAATTGAGTTGAAATATTGGCAGCATTTGGACCAGAAGGAAATCTTTGGAGTGCAAAGATTTGGCGCGGAAACGGAAGTTCTACAAATTACAGTATATGGTTTATGCTGCATTTTCAATCGTATGATGTATAATTTTAAAAATTGAGTTTTGGCAAATTCCGTTGTGCCAGAACCTTCCTAACGTTCGATTATGTACTCTTTGTAACCCTAAAACTCTTGTGCTCATTACGTCCTTCTCGTTTTGAAAACTTCATCGGGAGTTGCACAGCATGCCCTAAAATTAATACAATGTGATTGTTTGAATGAATGAATGAATGAATCAAGCAAGTGGCATCTAGCTGCGCCGGAGTGTACAATGAAGTCCTGCTGAAGCAACGCAGCTGCGACATCCCGTTGATGATGCAGAACGTGTACATGTGTTTCAACTCCATTCTTTTCAACTTGGTGGCGCTAGGAGTCATGGGCAAGCTCGGCTCACTCCCATCTCTAATAGTTGAGGTATGATATGAAACAGCACTGCACAGCACGTGGTTTTGGTTATTCGAGAAAATAAAGCATCCAACGCAAATCAACCAATGCGAAAATCACCCAGTTGTGAGGATAAAAATTCCTTGCAAAATTACATTGCAGAAATCCCACATTGCTTTGCTGTTCCCTCAAGTTTTCTTGAAAAATAATACTGTACTGTATGGTGCTGTTGAGGAATTCATTACAGATGATGCTGTGAGTTAGTACGAATATGACGTTTATTTTTTATATTTTTTTATAATTTGACATGACTCTGAGTCAGTAACTCATCAACTGTCAATTTTGATTGGTAAACAGCAATGGACCCTTGCTTAACAGACTGCTTGATTAACAAACTTCTAGGTTTCCAGGAAAAATCCCTTGGTAACCAAAATTCAGTTGACAGTTGTTGACAACTTTTTTCTGAGGAAAAATCCAAAATTTGAGAATCAACCATTTGTTTTTTGAGGCTGAAATGTGTATGGTAAAATCCAAGTGCAAATAATTCACCTATGCACTGACATGAAAATTCCTTCCTCCTGGCACTTTCATGTGCATGATCTTGTGTTTAAAAATATTGTTTCATCTACATTATTAATATGCTTTTCTAGAACAGAATTATTTGAATTATTTCTGTGTTTGTATCTTCCAATTGTGTGATTCTTAGAAAGTTCTACTTGATCTTTACTTGTTGCATTGGAAAAACAAGAAATTTTGTTTTCACCTGACAAACATATCCTTCAGTGTGCATTTCTCTGGATGTGAAGCTTTTTTATCTTGCTGGTTTTCATCTGGATACTTCCATATAACACTATAAAAACATTCTGGGTTCATACAAGATGCAGAAATAACTTATTATGACTTTAGGTGGTGGTCTGAATTTTTTCCATATTCAATGTTCAAGTGTCTTTTGGGTTCATGGAGCATATTAAGTTGTTCCTCATTGAAATCCATGGGAAATTTGGTCAACAAACTTTTGTCTGGAACCAATCAAGTTTGTTAACCAATAAGGGTCTACTATATATGCATAATTGATGTTTCTGATATAAATATTTTTTGTTGGTCAATGACTTGTCTAAATTCTCTTTTGCTGCTGTTATTTTTTTTTTTTGTTTGGGCATCTTGCAATGTCCTTCAATAAAGGTAGCTTCACAGCCAGTGGTGATGCTGGTGGTGGCCTGTGGCACCTGCTATGGACTCATCGCCAGTGTGCTCCTCAAAGAGCTCAACTCCATTTTGAAAACATACGCAGCAGCAGTGGAGATCTTTTTGTGTGGCATAGCGTCCCACTTGATCCTCGGCACTGTCATTGACGTCTCGAGCATTGCTGCACTGGCCATTGTTGCGGTTGCTTGCTATTACTATGTCCAAGAGCCGGTCATCAACTATGCAACAACAACAACAGCAGCAGCAGCAATAGAGTCCATCATTAGTGAAGGCTGTTGTGGTGATGGCGAAAAGCGGAATCTGCTGAATTTGGACCGCCAGGATGCTGGAGGCAATGACCAGGAGCAGCAGCAACAGAGCTACGACAACAAGCGAAGTCTCTTGTTTCCGTCGGGACTGAAGACAGAATGTTGAGTTTTTACTCATCACTGCGATATGTGAGGACGCATCCTGTCCACTGCTTTCCACGGGTGCTGTGAAAGAAGAAAAAAAAAAAAACTGCACAGCACTTTTTTTGTTTGAAAGTGGATGATGACTCTTGTTTTTTGTGAAAACTGAGGGAAGTGCCTTTTACTTGTTGTTCTGATTGTTGAAGGCTTCCAACCAGCGTGTTCTTGATGATGATGATGGGACAAAGCAAAGATGAAAATGTATTTGATGCACTACTGTTGTATTTAACCTTTTATTTATTTTTGTATGGCTTCTTGCCAATAATCGACGCAAACGATTACTTGGAGGGTCATTTGAATTGAACTGTTTACAACCACGAGAAACTTTTTTGTAGTTGATTGACAAACGAATGAATAAAAGTAACGCGGACGGTATAGGCACTATAGGGAGAGTTTCAGAAAACTCTTACGAGTCACAGGAAAAAAATATTTATTTTTAGTCTGAGGTGGATTGCAAAATTTTTTTTATCTTTATTTCCACGGAAATATTTCACCATTACATTTGCACCGTGTTGAGGTGAGTTTGTTAAGTTTGAGATGCTTATTGGAGAAATCTCTGATATCAATGTATGGTGGGCATAAAGAAAGAATTGCAAGTGAAAATGGCAAGCTCAAGTTTTCGGCGATGATTCTCCATCATAAAGAGCAAGTGGATTTCACAGACATGCGAATATACCTGTTCCTCGGATTTCTCTTATTAAGCAGATGGAGTCGAATTTTCTTCAAATTTGATTTTTTCCTTTTTTGAGAGCATTTCAATAAGAGAAGCAGAAAGTCAGATAAATTACCTGAACTAAAACTGAATTCAGGACGCCTGGATGGAAGACTCTGTATTTATTTTTTTTGCAGGTGTAGCCCGTGACAATTTTACAAATGCCTTTGTTTTCTACTGAGGAACAGGAGGCATTTGTTCAAGAACCGATGAATAGGGTTAGGTGTGCATCATCAATCGACTGAATGTATTTGTTTTTAATGATGATCCCCGGCGAAAGACTTTTGAAAAATGCTCACTTTTTCCTCCATGGATAAATCCACGAAAATGAATAAATTTCTGCTTCTGAATAAGCAATAATCAACGGCGAAAGAAAGAGTCAGAAAAAAAAACACGCACAGTATATATATATATACCCCAAATTTATATACAAAAGGGTGGGGTTTTTATCTCTCCTCGTATGATGTTGTACAGGCGTCCCTCGTCCCGAAAAAGAAGACAACTGGTATCTCTTGACAGGATCTCCATTTCTTTCTGGTTCCATCATCGTCGTCGCGAACGGTGGTCATATCTTGCCACAGTGGCGCCAGGATACATCAGGATCCAGTCGATAAGTGTAGCAGAGTGACTCGAGAAGAAAAAATAATAAAGGTTATTCCCTACATTCTGGTGGTGCTGGTCATCGCCTGAGGATGTGCAGCAGCAGCAGTAGCAGCAGCCTTCTTCCACCGCACTCGTGGCAGGTGCCGGTTACTGCCGCTCCGGCCGGCCGGTACACAGGGTATAGCAGAGTTAGCTCCGCGACACAACGTATTTTTTTTTAAGAAGAAAGAAAAGGCCGACTTCTTAAGAATCATTTGATATTTATATATATACAACAGTATTGACAGTCCTTGCCCTTTTAATTTTGCAACTGCAATACAGTACACGTTTTTGCATTTTATATTTCGCTTTCTAGAAATTGAGCAATGAGGTGTGAACTTTTTATTGCACGAAGTTTTATGTGCAGCGTAGCATATTTTATCTGAGTTAGTTGCAAAAAGTCAAGTTGAATAAAAGTCTATGAAAACAACAAAAGCTTTCGTTATTGCAGGGTAGAGACTTTTTTTTTCCTGGATAATACATATGCTGTACATGGAAGAAAATGACTGTCCTTTTGTATAAAAGGTAAAAATTTGAATTATACAGTGGACCCTTGGTTCATGAACCAGTCATGCAGTTTTGAAGAAAAATCCCTATGCCAACAAACCAAAATTAGGTTTAAAAAACTTGTTAATTGAAAATTATGAATTCAATTTTAAGGCAGAAATTTATGGTACAACTTATTGCAAATAATCCACCTGTGCACTGATATGAAAATTCTTCCCTTCTGCAGGCACTCTAGTAAAGTATGTGGAATCTTGTGTTTTAAAAGTTTTTTTTATCTACAGTATTCATATATGCTTTCCAGTGACAGCAGAATTATTTGCTTTTCTGTGCTTTGATTTTCTATTTGTTCAATTGTTAAAAAAGTTCTATTTTAATTGCAGAATTAGAAAAAGAACTTGTATATTCACCTGATATGTATCCTAAAACGTACAGTTTGTGTTCCTTTGGATGCAAGGCTTTTTTGGCTTTTTTCTTTACATCAGTGCTGCAGTACTAAAACGCTGTATAGAAGCATTGTGGGCTCATATAAAGTTCAGCAACAACTGATTCTGATTATAGTTGATGATCTTGAATTTTTTGCATATACACATTCAATTGTATTTTTAGGCCACAGAACAGATTAATCGCTTCTCAATTGAAGTCTACTGGAATAAAATCAAATTTGATAAGCCAACTTTTTCCTGGATTCAATCAAGTTCAGTAACTGAGGGTCCACTTTATACAATCTTACACAGAACAAGAGGCAAGATATCAAAACACCTTTATACATGCACATCCTCGCATAGAAGCTTTTTTTTTTTTTAAGCCAACGACCAGAGGTTCCTGCTCTGATAGTAATACTGTAGTGATAATAATAATATAATAAACAAAAAAGGAAGGACAGGCGTTCCTTCAAGGGCAGGAAATGCAAATCATTCCGAATCGTAGCAAAAGCTCGTCGTCGTCGTGTCGGACTCGGTGTCGTCGTCTTGTACGCAAATGTCGCACGCAGCGGACTGAAAGAAGAATAGCCGAAAGGACAGGGTGACAGCTAAGTAGTTTTACGTACTAAGACAGAAGGACGTGCAGTATATACAGTACAGTATTCGGGAATATAAGCCGGCTGTATAAAAGACCGGCCGGCAAGTATAAAACGTTCGACCAGGTCCAGACGAGCCTCGCAGAGAATCCTGTTGAACACGCCGTGCGCTGAGCGAGTTATTCCCTTCCTCCTTTTTCTTTATCGCCCACTTCATCCCCATCGTCGTCGATTCCCCCCCCCATTTCCCCCGAATCGGCACATTGTTTCGCCATTCAGTGTGTGGGGGGGATTGGAAAGTTACGACAGGGTTTTTGGTTCCCTTATGTGCTTGCGCGAACAATGTAATGCAATATTAAATTCATACAATAACCACCACGAGTCAAAATGCGAGACGACCATTTTTAAAGTATCACGGGTATTTCTGAAAATGATCGAATTGGTGGATGTGTTCTTTTTTTCCTCGACTCATTGACTCTCTTTTTATTCGGAGTCGAAAGTAATTTTCACGCAGAGATATATATATAATTGGTCATTCCGTGAGCAGCACTTCGCCAATTTTTGCTTATACCCAAGGAGAATACAAATGAACTGGCGGTTGTATCGTATTCGAAGCACAGCAAAACACTCTACTATTCGCTATTTTTCTGGTCCGTCGACATTTTTTTTTTTTTTTAATAAAGAACTCCGCAATTTAGTATTCGAAAAATTCATAATGCAAATATAATGATGCTGAAATAATGTCATATCATAGCAAAAATGAAACCCCTTTTAACAAACAAACAGTCGTGCTTCTTTTTTTGTGTGTGCACAATTTGAGATATTCTTATTGTCAGAACTGTTGTTACTCGCGCAGCAGAACTCATCACTTTTAAAGGGACTGAGGGAACTTACGTACCAGCCCTTTTGTGCTGTTTCTGAGAAATATCAGTGTGTTGCAAGTTGTTCTCACCCTCGTTCTCCCCCTTGACATTCCCACGGGCTGAACCGTCGTCTTTTTTTTCTTTTTCTTTTTTGCTAGTTTTGTTTCTATCGGGAAGATTGTGTGAAAGCGGTCGTCAGTCATGCCTGTGAACGTGCCTGAATCGAGAGTGATGGAGACTACGGAAGAGCGGCAAAAGTTCCTTGACGGAAGTCAGTACACCCAGAACGGAATTTTGCGCTATGAAAAGATTTTCGGCGAGGATTTCATCAGTACTGGAGGCCGGGAAACTACCGAAGTGAGTAGCATTTTCTTTCTTCCCTTTCTTTTCCCCCAATCTCTCGTGAGAGAGAATCCTTGGGATTGTTATCAAGGATTGTGAATATAAATATTTTGCGTGGCGATTGCGTAGGAAATTGTGGCGACCCTGGGACTGAAACCCGGCATGCAGGTGCTGGATGTGGGTTGCGGGATCGGGGGCAGTGTGTTCTACATGGCCGAGCATTTCGGCGTGATTGCCCGAGGCGTGGATTTGTCTGCCAATATGCTGAGCATGGCCAAGCAGAAGCTCGACACCAAGTACGCCCACTTGAAGGACCGGGTAAGACACCAGGACGAATTCTTTTCTAGATTTGCTTCACCGACTTGAACAAAGCTTAATAGGTGTCGCTCTCGGCGTAAGTTTAGACTACATGTTTCTTTCCTGAATATATGCATCATTTATTGCGGCATATTATGAGCATACTCGTGCCAGATTCCATAAGTTGGATATGTATAGATGTGTAATGCTCTTGACACGATACATTTTGACTCGCATCTTTTTTTTTGAATTTAGCCTCTATTTGAGCAATCGATACACCAAAATCCTTCCGAGCTATAGTACCGTGTTATAGATAATGCACAGTCCAGTACTATTTTTTCCCGCCAGAGTTTGACAAGTAAAAGAAAAAGATTTTGCGCAATTCAGTTCAGTAAATAAAAAAAAAATTAAAATGGGGCTTCGCATAAAATCTGAAGTATATTTTCCCCAGCATAATGCGTATCTGATTCCGGTACTTGAAGTACTTGAGGAAATAGATCAATGAGACGAATAAGAGAAAGAGTAATATTCGCCGCTATTCTTGCCCCATCATAAACCAACGGAATATTTTTGCATTAATTTTTTAAAGCATGACGTAACCTTTCTGGAATTGGACCAAGACTCATTTAAAGGACTCAGGACTCAGCTGATAGAGTATTATGTTGACAACGAATCCCGAAGCCCGTTTAAAATATAAAAAAGTTACCATGCTGAATAATGATGATGAAATGCGGTCTTGGGCCGACAGGTGTCGTTCGAATTGGCAGACTGCCTGCTCATGGAAGTGCCCGAAAGCACGTTCGACGTGATTTACTCGCGTGATGCGATGCTGCACATTGCCGACAAGCCCACTCTTTTTGCACGACTCTACGTGAGTGATTCTCTACTCTGCTTTATTTCTGCAACTTGAAACTTGCTTCGAAAGGAACATGCAATATTTGTTTTGTACGTCTTTGACTGCGCAGAAATGGCTGAAACCCGGTGGTAAGCTGGTCATCACCGACTACTGCCACGGCGAGAAGCTGCAGCACTCCGAAGAGTACGTCAAGTACGTCAAGAGCAGGAACTACCACCTGTTGACTGTCGTGGTGAGTTTTGCAAGATATATGCATAGAGTGACGTGTGCTAATACATTACAGTATATTAAATAATTAATTAAATTATATTCGTCGCGCAGGATTATGCCCACACACTGGAGCAGATCTTCCCTGAAGTGTGGAGTGACGACCGAACAGCCACGTTCATCAAAGTGCTCAAGCGAGAAGTGGCCCACCTCAAGGCCCACAGGGAAGCCTTTATCCAGGTATGTACCACCACCACCACCACCACCAGTCATTGTTTGCCACAATTCAATTAATAAGCCATACTGAATGTGCTGACTTTTTTTTTTCTTCCTGTTTCTGCAGGATTTCAGCGAGAAGGATTACGACGAGCTGATCAAGGGTTGGGAGGCCAAGGTTGTCAGAGCCTCGAGCGGGGATCAGGCCTGGGGACTCTTCCTGGCCACCAAGAACTGATTTCAGTCTTGCCAATATTTGTTTTTGTTTGTTTGTTTTGTTTGTTTGCTCATTTCTTCCTGCAAACCTTTCGCTTAATTTGCGAAGTTTCCGAGAGGTCTGTTTGTGGAATGTGTAAAGTGTATGTTGTCGAATAAGAGCGCTATTCTTTTGAATGTTGGCCGAATAATCAAATCACACGGAACGCTAGTTTTTTTTTCTTTTTTTGTTAAGGGAAATGGAAACTCGAAGGAAATAAATCGAGAAAATTGCATCACGAGTATTTTCTGTCGGGATAATAAGATGATTGCTGTTCCACACTCTTCCATTTCATCAAAGTCGAAACGAATATCGAAAAAAAACTCAAATATATTCGTCTCTCTCTATATATATATATATCAAGCGTGGGAATATGTTGGGGGAAATCGCTCTTTGGCCTGGTTCATTTCGCACCTTCAGATCATCAAAAGTTCTGGTAACTCTTGTATTTATTTAGTGTGACACGAGACCGTTTTTCTCGTTCTACTCGCATATTGTTTGCACGAGCAAAGCAAAATTTTTGTTTTGTTTTTTGTCTACATGAAAAGTCGCAACGTATATACTGTATATGCACAGCAGAAAAGGAAGGATAGATGTCGCTTCATCAATTTAACGAGTAGGAGCGAACTTGATGCAGGCCAGCACCGTAATTCTTCAAGTGGGCCTTGGGTTCGTTGAGGTGTTGAGTGGCGGCATAAGTCCGGGGTTTGCCGAGGTCGTAAATAGACGGGACTGGTGGTGGCGGCGGAGGTAGGATGTGGTCGGGGTAGGGCGGCAGTGGGGCCACGTGGTCCACGAAGACTGGACGGTGTAGCCCGTGTTGCTGCTGCTGCTGCTGCTGCTGCTTCTGCAGTGGGTAGTCGTGGACGTAGTTGTGGTTGTTGTAGCCCGAGTAGTTGGGCACCTTTTTGGAGAAATCCCGGGTCTGGGACACGCTGCTATAAGAGCCCTTTCCTCGTTCTTCCACGACCTGAGAGAGAGAGAGAGAGAGAAAGGCCGAGTTTTTTGTTGTTGTTGTTGTTGTGACATTGCGAATTAGATGCTGGAAATTCCAACTCAGCTTCACGTGGATAATTTGAAAATGGTGCAATTTTATACAATTCAAAAGCATACTTTCCTCTTTTTTTTAACGAGGGAAAACGACGGTTATGGCGATTTTCCACCATCCATCCAATCTTTCCCCAGTTTTAGATAACCTAGTGTAATGGTTGCGATTTGAGTATGAAATTACTGTTTGCCCAAGGAAAGACGCATTGCGAAACTATTCGAATGGAGAAATTGACGTAGAGCTACTACCAACGGAGTCATTTTGGAATGCGGACAAGTAATACTGAATTGTAAAACGAAAACTAAATTTCTTCTCTCTCGCATATCCAGATGGGCTTTAAGGCCAATATAAATAAGAAGAATTCGATTTCAGTGTTTCGAAGTATAGACGGTCAATTCCGCATTTTATTTCAATGCTCATCATATCGATTTTTTCATGATTCAGAAAAAAACCTGATATTCTGTCAATCAAAAAAGAAAAATAGAAATCTGAATCGAGAGTCAAATTAAAGTCCAATTAAGGTATTTTTTCAGCATTTTCATACTTTACTTCACGTACATGAACATAACACCCCAATTTTCGGAGTGTATTACGAAATTAACGAGGAAGTTTCATTCAAATGAGAATTTGTTCAAATATGCGGATTTGTTGGCAAGCAAAATTACGCCTCAGGGAATCCCTGAAAATTTTGAAATGGGCTGCAAAAAATTAACCACTTGTGTAACATGCATCCTGTGTAAGATTTGCATCCTCATTGAATTCAGATTAACTTTTTTTTTAATAATAATATTTTGTGGAAAGGCATAAGTGCTACACGTACATTACTCTTTTTATCGGTTCTATGGTGATTCAAAGAAATATGCACACCTCAGAAAAATGTCTGTCTTTTTGACTTTTGATTAATGCATGTGGCCAAAAACGAAAGGTTTGCAAAACGTTCCTGCACGTAAAATTGGAGTTTGAAGTTTCGAATTCAGTCTCGCTTTTCCTTTAGTTGATGGCGATTTCAAAGTACTGTATAATGTTCTGAATTTATTGTTGGTCGGGTGGTGTCAAAATTTATTTTCAAAAATTGTCTGACTACGCACATGGGGACCTATGACTGACTGCTGGTCTCGTGTCTCACGTACCTGGTAGCTGAACCCATCAGGGGTGCTGTGCACGTCAATCTGCGCCTCCCCATCGGCCTTGTAGGGGTGTTGCTGGTGCTGCTGCTGCTGATGGTGGTTGTTGTACTGGTTGTGCTGGTACTGGTGCTGATGAGGATGTGAGTGCTGATGCTGGTGTTTATTGACATGTGCTGGTGCAGTAGCATAGCTCGGCAGAATGTAATCCGGCACCACTACTGCGGACTCGGCCACATAAGTGGGCTCGTGGGAATACGGCGACGCCTGCGCAAAGTAGACGGGCGGGCCAGCAGCAGACTTTTTGTGGGCCTCAGTGGCCTTGCCGTAGTCCAGCTCCGGGAAGTCCAGCAGCGGCTTGTACTTGCTGGACCCGTGGTAATTCCGAGGCTTGTACGAGTGGTGTGAGGATTCCGCAGCAATGGCCAGCAGCAGCAGCACTGCTGCTACTCTCGATCCATGTTGTCCGGAACACATCACTATTTTGTTTTTTTCTCTCCACCTGTTTTTATCACGACTCTTTTTATTTTTTAAACCGATATTTTCTACACGTGCTTGATAAGATGAAGGGAAGAGAAAAAGATACAGAGAGAAAGAGAAAGAGACAGTCTCCATGTATATAGAGTTGCGCAAGGACGACGACTCCTCCTCCAACACCACAATTTGAGAACAAAAATTACCGGGTAAAATCGCGTCACGACTTTGCGTTATTAGGGTTGCATTGTTGTTGCAGCTGTTTCCCTTTTTCTCACTTTGAGATTAGCAAGCCTATGTCTACTGAATCCACAACATCTCTATACAGCCTGATAAAAAAAAAAATAAGTCGACGAAAAGATACTTGTTTGACGTATTGCTGGTCCCCTGTACATCTTATTGTCAAATGTTATTGCCGAATGAAAGCAATGGCATCTATGTGACGGTAGGGAAAATCCTAAGCTTCCAAGCTGATATCCCTCTGAAGCAGGGGTCAATTCTGGCATCCCTATTATTTGATAAAATGGTGATTTTCCAGAACCAAATTTCATAAAATTCGTGATCGATGTTTGCAAATTTTCTTCAGCATCACGGTTGGAACGAAAAGAGGTTAGTGCTTGTGCGGGAGAAAATTCAATGACTGACGCTAATCTGTATAGAAAAATTTGCAGGCAGTCAAAAAATTGCCAAAACACCCAAAGACAATACTCTAGCTGAAAAGTATCCTTATTTTTGTTTGTCAAAGTTTCTAACAGTTCCTTTGGTACTGGGCCAAACGTTTCCCCCAAGTCTTGACGGGAATTCACTAAAATCTCCAGAATATGACCATTTCTTTTTTTCATTATACTTCGGGTGACTTGGAGGATTCTGTCTCAGGAACTTATATTGCGTTGATGAATCCAAAAACCTTTCTCGGTCAAAAAATATAGCATCTTCACCGTATATTTGGAATATTTAAAATGTTATCGATATATTCAACGAATGCCTCGAATTTTATAGTGTCAGCTCTCTCCTTCGTCGTTTACTATAATCTTTCCAAGTTCAACAGATTTCAGCTGAAACACACACACACACGCACCCGCATGATATTGTATTCTCGATGATCGCGGATGGATACATCACATCACACACAATCAATCGCTGCACTACATCGACCGATTGATCGTATTATTATTTTTTTCTTCCTTCTCTCTATACTTTGAGGCAAGAAAAAAAATGCCAATAATCTGCACATGAGAGAGTTTCCAGTGTAAGTGACTAATATATTGTGAGTGGGTGGATGTATATACGATGAGTTGACAGGTCGAAGCCCGCGTTCGGAATGGCGAAACCCAGGTGAGCCCCGGACGGTTTTATATAGATCACACCCCCGACGAGGCGTTCGAGATCACGCACGCGTTTTTCTCCTCTCACATGTGTGACGTGCATCGAGGAAAAGACATGAAAATAAAAAAAAGACTATCTAGGGAACCGAAGCAACAAAAAGAAGGATGCAAGGGGGGAAAGATGAAGAAGAAGAAGAAGAAGAAGAAGAAGGAGAAAAGTAAGAGTTGTATGAGCGACGGGTCATCAGATGATGACGGACGCCGAACACGGATACGTGACGGACCCCTGACCGCAGGTACGTAAATTTCCTCAACTTCAGCGACATGAGCAAGAAGCAACAAACATCTCGACGAGTTATTGGCACACACACACACACACACAAAAAGGAACAACTTTGTCACGATACCCCGCACCGAGAGGTTCCGAGGGTTACCGAACAAATCGTGCAATTATTCACCTCAAATTTAGTTTCCCCAGAAAAAAAAAAATAACCATCAGAGCTTTCATCGAGTACAGTACTACTCGGATAATTGCACAAAAAATTGGCCGGCCTTCAAGTTTTTTTTTTTTTTTTTCGCCGTGCGCTTTTGTGTCCGCGTGTGAAATTATTGGAGGGTTCGGGAATCCTTTAATTTGCATATATTTTTCCGGGCCGGAATGCAAAAAACGCTTTCGAAAACGAGAACCGAGGTCGACTTTCGATTCACGCGCTCATTGTTTTCTGCCGCCGCGACTTGTAATCAAATCCCACGACAATTTTTTCCATGATCACGTGTACGTGTGTACAGTATACTGATGTGGACAAAACAATGAAGAGATGGACCGAAAAGGTCGAGACCCTCGATTTCCCTTGAACCAAGCAGCGGAATGATTCGGGAACAGCAACTTAACAAAAATAAATAAATAAATAAAATTACTGACCTCATCGTGGGTCAATGAAGCCTTCATTGCTGGGAGAGGTCAGGAGATGTTGTCCGGCTAAACGACCTTTCTTTGCTCTAGATGCTCTAGCACTATTTTAGCGGCTTAATTGCTAACCCGTTAGAGTGCGAAAAATAACGGTGATTAACCGTCTCCAAAGAAAGAGGATTACCCGGAGTTGTAAAACTTTTGGTTTGTTTTGCCCTCTTTCTGGTGCAAGTATTTTTAATAAACGGCCTGCAGCTGCGGTCTGCTCACATGGAACTCCAAAAAAAAATAGAGTCTCGGATAACATCGTTTCGTTTCTCTGTGGAATTCTTTCTTTGAGTCTAACGATTTTTTTTAAAGGGCGTGTTGCAAAGTATATTTCTTATGAGCAATTATAAGAAATATACTTATTTCTTATGAGCAATTATAAGTATAATTCTTAATATTGATTATCACGTGGCGGGACGTGCTATCACGCTGCGCCCCGAAGCAACTTTTCGGCCCTCAAGGGGCAACTTTGGCAGAGTGGAAAACCTGCACTGAAATGGTATTTAGCCAGGGGCAACTTTGCTGCACCTATACTGGCTCAATCCCATGGTTATTCTTGCCTGTATAAAAGGGGCAGTGTGCATTATGCACCTAAAGTCAGTCATTAGTCTTCCTTGATTCTTTCTTCATCAGTATTCCCCCAGTCTTCAGTCAGTCAGTCAATTGGCAGTTCATTCCTACCCTGGTCTTTACTGTGGTTTAGCATCAATCAATCTCTCCTGCAGACTGTGTTCGAGTGTCTCACCCAGTGTCTCCAGTGTTTAATTTCAGTGGAGTTAGAGACGCATACTTTATCCTATTTGTGTCGAAGAATAATCATGTAGAAATGTAGGCATCACTCCGGAGAAGAAAATTGTTCTGCATCTGGAATGTGGCCGGAAAGACAATTTTGGCCGCGTCTGGAATTAAATTGTCTCGTTTTTGAAAAACGATTTATGTCTTCTTGACTATATTATATATAAGCATTGAATTGAATTTTTTACTAATATGATGATCTTCCCTCTCCCCCCTCACAATATTTATTACCTTCCTCAGATACTTAATCCAGTGAATAATCGTTCATATCGCGACATAATGAAAAAAATATATATACGGTATACGAATAAAAAATACATCAACTGTGGATGCATCGTTGTGAGTAATTAGTGGTGAATTGAATTATAAGTGATGATTTAACCTCGTTTTGCGAGATCCAGTGAAGGTCGGGCTGAGGCAGCATGGCCGGGCCCAGGGCACACCTCGGCAGCGTGCTGGAGGGCCAGCTGGCCCAAAGTCAGGTCATGTCCAGCATGCAGATCCACGTGCACGTGAACCACCTGCTCCTCGCCGAGGCCAAACACCGGGTTTTCGGGGAACCCTTCCAGGTTCTTTGACCATCGTTTACATTTTTTGTTTGTTTTACAAATAATAAAAATAATTGCAATAATGGTTTTTTTTCTTGACAAGTCTGAGAGTTATATTCGAATAAAATACAAATATGTGCATGATGCCTACCTACATTCCCCTTCCATGTGACTGATTGGGTCAGGGAAGCAGATGAGTGAGGACTACGTGCAGATTGAGCTCTTGGAGAGGAGTCGGTATGTGCGCATTGGCAACACTAACCGGTCATTTCGCTCTGCGGGGTCGTCCTTCAACACGAGACACAAGTCGTTTGCACCTCGCGTGTTGGAACGGGTCTTGCGAGTGGACTCGAGGAGTGACCTGGCTGCTGTCGAGTCCATGCAAGTCAACCCCATCATCACTTCTTTCAGGTACTGTAGATAGAACCCAACTATGCTTCAGGATCCTTTTTTTTTCCTGCTCATCGTCGTAAATACAATTTAAAAAAAACCAGGAATGTCGAGGTGGATCAGGGACAAGGTAGTTTTTATAGTAGGTGTTGCCGTACGTGATTTTGAAAATGGAATTTGAGGTAATACAGAAGATTCAATTACACGGGGCTTTCATTCAATATATTATCATCCTAACTTTTTTTTTTTTTAGCAATATGGCCCTTTGGTACGCATATGCACGAGAAAATGCGCGATCAATTGCTCTGTATTTACTGTAGATTACAGCATACAGTCAATTTATGCATTTTACTCGAGAGGAAAAAATTCAGTGATTATAATTAAATTATTATAACATTCTTCACCTCGTATCAAACAAAAACCTGGAAGTACAATATCGAATTGCTTGCTATATTCATGCAACGAATCTTATGATGCCAATTTATTGCTGATGAAGAAATCGCTCTTGATGTCCGTGTCTAATCAATAATTGGGATCATCATAGTGCGCTATTCGAATCGCTACACAATTAATTTGTTTAAATTTATTACGATAAATCACTCTCCATCATCAGCAGAGCACTCAATACTGTTAATAGCAGCAGCTTCTTGGTAATAGCGTGATTTCACTGCATGCTCACACTCGTGTATATATATGCAGAAAGAGACACGCAGTGATGGCGATGGAACACATGGCGCAGTTCATTGCCCTGATGCAGACCAGCCTCGAGGTCCTGGCCCACGTGCTGAGCCAGGTGGACGCGGAGCTGGAATCCTCGCCGACGACGCCGTATCATTCCCGGGGCCTGTCGACCCGACGTCGACAAGTCGGCAGCAGCAGCAGCAGCAGCACCCGTGATCACGGCAACAGTAATGACGGCGGCCGACGTCGCACCGTCGCCGTGTCCGGCTCGGAAGCAGCAGCAGCAGCTGCGGCGGAACTGGCCAGCAATACGATGCTGCACAAGTACCCGAAGTCCATGACGGAAATCACAGTACCCGTGTCGTCTCGGGAAGCGAACCCATCGAGGTACTGTATACGTGATTTATAATCACGACGACATTATCGTTCAACTGCATGATGGGCGGGAATCAAAACAGAAAGAAAAAAAAAAGAATGATGAGGCATGTATTCATTTATTTATTACAGTGGAAATGTACGAGCGAATCAAGCCCAGCAAAATGCTGATGGACGCCTGCAGTCGGACACCAGGCCAACGAGAATACTGCCCAGTTTGATTTTCACGGCGGAAGTCCTCAAGTACAGTATTCCTTGCTTATTACTATTGAGCTGATTCATCATTTATGCCGAACAATAAAACATTTGGTGGGAGAATATGTGCATGAGTTTAAGAATTATTCGGAAATTTTCTTCGCTCTGCGTTGTTTTGTTGAGAATTCACGACAAGGTGTTTTAGCCGTACAATTGCAAGTTGAAACATTTTGAATATTACAGTTGAAACATCGATTGACAAATTGGGCTGCTTTATTATTGAGGATCGGATCAGAAGAAGAAAGAAAAAACTTTTTCGCGTTATTTAGATATCAAAAGTGGCTGCAAGAGCGACTTGAGGAGTATGCTGGTTTGCAGCAGCAAATCATTTCCGCAGTTTTGGCCGCCATCCGGGAAGTGAATGACCCGGACGTGGCGTCCCAAGGGATCCCGTCAAACATGCAGCCCGACTACCGCAGGCATCTCGGCGACACCATACAGAGGAACACCAGCAAACAAGAGGAATACACGAAACTGGTCATCGGCGCCATTGCTGCGGTGAATATTCCTTTTTTTCTGCTAAATTTCAACAAATATTGTCGAACCCAATCCGCCACAGATGTGTGAAACAAATTCCACGACGATAAAAAATAAAAACAAATAATGGACAAGATGAACGCGGCTCAGACGTGTGTGCTGTACACTTTGTAGAAAAATGACTCCTATATCCGGAATGATTGATACCGTCAACAGTTTGAAATTTAATTTACTGATTTTGATTCAGGTGGAATATGATGCTGTTGCGGATCGAGAGCTGGAGGAGACGTTGCGGGATCACATAGAGGATTTTGGCTTATCTGGACGGCCTTCGAGTTCTCGTGGGTTGGTCAGCGGAAATGCCACAATGGACCTGACGGCGGCGTCCTTGACGACGTCTCCGATTGCCCGCCTGCTCAACTACAAAGTCGACAGGAGAGACGCCGCCATGAAGACCATCATCAAGGCAACGTTCCCATTTATACCCTCTCTTACAAAATACTTCTTGCATCACACACTGAATTTGTAAATTTATTCCTTTTTCACATATTATAAGAAAGTCTTGTTCATCCACGAATAGGAGATTCGACATCATATTTAAAGACGGGGTTTCACTCGGCCTATGCATAGGTGAACAGGTTCTTGCATATTTTTGGACTTTTGACCTCAGTAACATCTCGTTACAATTTTAACAAATCATCTATTACGAGGTCCCTGTTGAGAAATTGAAAATGTTTTGAGTTTGTGCATGGATGAAGGAGTTTTCTATATACCAAAGCTACTGTTTTACTTGTCCCAATATGGCTTTGTTATAACCACTACAATAAACTTATGAGAAAAATTCGTCATGAGATTCGTTATTCTTTGAGCATGTTATTGGACTTGAATGTTTTGGAAACAGCTGAAGCTGCAGATAGATGCTTCAAAGTACGTACTACAGAATATTTTATTTCCCTCGAGTAACTGTAATTTTAATGGTTCGTCACACATGGAAATTCAGAGTCGAATGGAATCTTGACATTTCTTATGAAAGATCCACATTTTGCCCCATTATATTTTGCTGCGATGATGCAAATTCTTAGATTTTTCTTCTGAAAAAATGTGCGAATTCCTTGTTAACAATCACATAGCTGAAGAACGCGCGTATTTTGTGGGTTGAGGGGATCAACTCTCTTGTTGTAAAAGTTTCAAATAATATTTGCTGATGATGCCATAAATACAGGAACGGGTCGTTTGATGAGCATTTCAAATTTTGTAGAATGTGAAAAAATTCAAGGGGCCTTTGGAGAACATTCTGCACGATCAGCTGGAATTTCTAGTGATGAACCAGCAGAGATTTTCCAAGCAGTTGACTGGAAGTCTTTCACCACACGCATCAGTGCCGCCCAGTGGAGTGCTGAATACTACGAAAGAGTTCAAGAAACGGTAATTATATACTCATCTCCTATTTCATATTGGTGTATAGCCATTTTATATTTGATTATTTTAGAGCCCTGATTTTAACCGAAGTTTTTAGAGTATTATCAGTGATGTGTGAAGAATTTCGGGCGTCTGTATCACAGGGATCCTTGATCCTGTGTACAGTAATAGACAACACTTTTGGGGTTCTGATTCCGAATCAAGATTCCATAATCCCACCATATTTAATGGGTTCACGTGCTCATCAAAATTTAGGAATAAAAGACCTCAAAAAATTGAAATAAATTGCCTTTTTCAGCTTGAAAATATACAGATTAACAACTGTGCAGCAGAATTATATTTGTACAGAATCTGATTTTTTGGCTTTGTAATTAGAAGGGGCTCAAAAAGCAATAATAAATTGATAAAAAGTTCAGTGATTCTGTGCACAGATTACGAACACGGCTCTGAAAAAATAAATGCAAAAATTAGCCTATTTTTTATAAAGAAGAGTGGAGTATAAGTTCATAATGAAATAATTTTATTTTTTGTGAATGTGAAAACGGTAGTTCGATTTTTTTTAAACGAAACACTTTTCGAAAACACTTTTTCGAGAAATGCTG